TATTTAATGAAATTTTATCGCTCGATTGTACAGAAAAAGGCTCAGGAGAGCATCAACACCAGATTAGCACTTGTCATGAAATCTGGTAAATACGTCCTTGGCTATAAGCAGACTCTGAAGTCTCTTCGTCAAGGCAAAGCGAAATTGGTCATCATTGCCAGTAACACGCCGCCGTTGAGGTGAGACTGAGAAGTAGCACTCCTTTTGTACTCAGCAAATTGACATATGTAACAAAGACGTGATTTCTCTTAAATCGATGAATTTGATGAATTTATAAGTATAACATTTTCTCAGTATATCTAGATATATATTTTTGAGAACTAATGGAATATCAATTAAATAAATAGTCCACATTTTGAAATTGCATAAAGTTCAGCGATACGATTGTCAATTTGTGCATTAAAAATCGAATAGGAGTACTATGGAGTAGTCTCCTGCCCCTGCTTGTAAGTGCGTGGGGTTTTTAAACCGTAACTCTCGTAATGTTCTAAAGCACACTTTGTCTGGATTTAACAGGAAATCGGAGATCGAATACTACGCGATGTTGGCGAAAACTGGCGTGCATCATTACACGGGGAATAACATCGAATTAGGTACAGCCTGCGGTAAATATTTCCGTGTCTGTACGCTCTCGATCACAGATCCTGGCAATTCTGACATTATAAAGTCCATGCCGACTGGTGATCAGGCGTAATGTAAATTTTTAATCTAATAAATAATACGAAAACATCTTAAAAAATTATTTTCTATTTATTTTCGTCCTCAAAATGCAATTTATATTAGTTTATATTAAGCCAAAATATTTTATATGAAAGATTCATGTACCGTAGGTATATGTTGACCATCGTTCAACTTGCTCGCGCATTGTTCTTCCAAGTGATTCGGTTTCTTATAATGACGATGTATTTGACCCTGCGCTGGACACGTCGATGCCGCATGATTCGTACCACATTTTGAGCAACTTGTCGCGGAGGGGCATTTCAACGAGAAATGATTTCTCTCGCCGCACTTTGTACACAGTTCGCCATATGCCGGGCAATGTAAATCAAGATGATTCATTCCACATTTAGCACAACTGTATATGTACTTAGCTTTATGTCTATCCGTGAAATAATTTAATTGTTTACACTTGTTGCATTGGGCACAAAACAACAAGTGTAAACAATTTCTCCAAGCCGGGCATCGGTTTCGTTTGTGTTCCATACTCGATCGAGTATATTCCATTCCAGTGGGCTCGGTATAGGGAGAGTCCCGTTTCGGTGTTTCCTCGATCTTTTGTGCCATTAAATCCTCACACTGTTTCCAGAATAGAATAATCTCGTTGAGACCCAACGATTGCAAGTACGGTATGAAATTTTCTCCTTTACTTTCTATGAGAAGCGCAGCTTTTCCCGTGAAACGTTGAATACTTATATCTTGTATAATTTTCTCCTTCACAATTGCTGCGGGATCATCGTGATTCCACGTAACAGCGATAAACTGCAAAAGTTAAATGTACAAATAACTACAAGAATTGCATTCGAAAGTATACGGTCATTACACAGGTACTTCCATACATACTATCAAATCATTGATGTATCTGTCGATGTCTTCGCCGCCTCTTTTTGCATCTCCATACATGCAGTAGATATCAAATCTTTTAATTAACGCAGTTATATCTTCCTGCTCGTTCTTGTCGTAGAAAGTGAATGTTCTATGGATCTTTTGCCCAACGGGACCCATACGATTTAGAAGCATGATACCCCACAAGTGTCTGTTGTCTCCGGCTTTGTCGATCCTCCTCAAGTAAGCAAGGAATTCGTTCTTCCATGAAAACCAGTTTGCAATTAGATGATCTTTCGTAGCAAATATAGGTGGTACTGTTACAGCTGTGACCGTAGATTCATTAGGAAATCCTGCTTGCTCACTGTTAACAGGCTCTTCCACTTGACTAGACGAACTACCTAAAAATTTGTAACGATACTTTTATTACAAAAGGAAGACAGTATTAAACGTTGTCTTATGTATCTTATGTATAATTACCTATTTTTTCCATTATCACTAATCACTCCAATATTTATACGTATAAAAGAGATTTTATATTCAACTTTTTTTGCGGAGAGAGAGAAGAGAACTTGCAAACAAATGTTTTTAACATTGTCAACAAAAAAATAAATTATCTTCACTACGATAGATACAGATAAGCGTGATAAGATAAAAGAAAGAAATGGTAAATCCCATTATACAGATGCGAGGCAAAGGTCTGCGTATGTCCGGTAAATTTACGGATCGTCGAATCACCTGCGAATAACTGCAAAACACTACTGATCTCGTTAAACTCTTGATATATAAAGAGAAATAATTATATTGTTAATACTAATTACTAATTATATCTAATGGATATTGCGTTTGAAATACGGACGGAGAAACGCGGCGGCCAATCGCTTTCCGAGTATTCGTTTTATCGAGGAAACTGAAGAATGATTGGCCACCAGTGACGACTCATCCTTAGGTCTCGTGGTCTGGATTTAACAGGAAATTGGAGATCGAATACTACACGATGTTGGCGAAAACCGACGTGCATCATTACACGGGGAATAACATCGAATTAGGTACAACCTGCGGTAAATATTTCCGTCTCTGTACGCTCTCAATCAGAGGTCCTGGCCACGTTCCGTAACGCGCATATGCGCGCATTTTCTATAGTAAACGTTACGTATACTATAGATAAATGCGCGCATATGCACGTTACGGAACGCAAAGTATGGCAATTCTGACATTATAAAGTCCATGCCGACTGATGGTGATCAAGCGTAATGTAATTTTTTTACCTAATAAATAATACGAAAACATGTTGAAAAATTTTTTCTATTTATTTTTATCCTTAAACTGCAATTTATATATATATACATATAAAATAATTCTTAATTTTATACAAAAGAATAACAATAACAATTAATATTAGTTTATGTTAAGATAAAATATTTTATACGAAAGATTCATGTATTGTAGGTATATACATTGACCATCGTTCAACTTGCTCGCACATTGTTCTTCCAAGTTTCCTCGATTGCTTTTATGCTATTAAATCTTCACACAGTTTCCAGTACAGAATAATTTCGTTGAGACTCAACGATTGTAAGTATGATATCAATTTTTCTCCTTTACTTTCTATGAGAAGCGCAGCGTTTCCCGTGAAACGTTGAGTACTTATATCTTGTATAATTTTCTCCTTTACAATCCCTGTGGGATCAACATGATTCCATGTAACAGCGATAAACTGCAAAAGTTAATTGTACAAATAACTACAAGAATATTGCATTCGAAGATATATAGTCATTACATAGGTGCTTTCATACATACTATCAAATCACTTGTGTATCTGTTGATGTCTTTGCAGCCTCTTTTTTCATTTCTATACATGCAATAGATATCAAATTTCTTAATTAACACATTTATATCTTCCTGCGCATTCTTGTCGTAGAAAGGAAATGTTCTATGGATCTCTTGGCCAACAGGACCCATACGATTTAAAAGCATAATACCCCACAATTGTTTCTTGTCTTCGGCTTTGTCAATCTTCTTTAAATAAGCAAGAAATTTGTCCTTCCATAAAAACCAGTTTGCAATAAAATGATCCTCCGTAACGAATGCAGGCGGTACTGTCACATCTGTGACCATAGATCCATTAGGTAATTCTGTTTGTTCACTGATGTTAACAGGTTTTTCCAATTCACTAGATGAACCACCTAAAAGTTCGTAACGATACTTTTATTATAAAAGAAAAACAATATCAAAACATGTCTACATATCTTATATACAATTACCCATTTTTTTTCAAATAATTACTCTAATATTTATACGCATAAAACGGTTTTTATATTAAACTTCTTTACAAAGAGAGAGAAGAGAACTTGCAGACAAATGTTTTTAACATTGGCCGCGTTCAGTCGTCTTATTAACACGCTACGTTGATTTCTTGGGTCTAGAAGTAAGAGTCAATCACGTTTGATTGCTACTGAGCGGTTTGTTCTGCTGAACGCGGTCATTGTCTGCAAAAAAAAATTAATTATCTTCACTACGATAATATAACACAGATAAGCGTGATAGCAAAAAGAAAGGTGAATTCCCCAATATACAGACGTGAGACAAAGGTCCACATATGTCGATAAATTTACGGATCGTCGAAGCACCTGCGAATAACTGCAAAACACTGATTTTATAGTTGCTCTTGATATACATACAAAGAGATAATTATATTATTACTAATTACTAATTATGTGTAATGGATTGTGTGTATTGCATTCGAAATATGGATAAAGGACGCGGCAGCCAATCGCTTTCCGCGTATTCTTTTTACCGGCGACGCTGAATCATGTGTTACAGAATGTTGACTGTTGGCGGTGATTTAAATTTTCCGGTGCATCACACTGGGTGGTGCAACAGCCATCTGGAGAAGAAAGTGCTTTCCATCATGATATACTCAGTGAAGGTTATATTTCAGGAATTTATTTTATCATCAACATAGATCAAGGACTTTAGTTTATCAGGATTTTATAGTAATAAAATATACTATAAAATAGATTTTTATATTTTTTAATAAAATAATGTGCTTTATTCAGTAAACAGACTGATCAGACTAAAGGCTTATTTCAAAAATGAGTGTTTGCTTTTCAAGTGTTTGCTATGTAGTGTTCTTGCTCCGTCCACCCTCTTTCCTTTAAGCCAATTAAGATAAAAAAATATCGTTTTGATTTTCGTTTGAAAAGGATCTTGGCGTTCGTCGAATGGATTTTAATCCCAATTTAAGAGATATAACATCAATAACATAATAAACATCCAAACGAAACGCTAACTCGAAGAGCTTTCTTCGCGATTTAAAGTATATAAAAATTTAAATTTAAATTTGCAGACTTTCCTCCTGTCGCTGTTACCATCCGAACTCATTTCGTTCGTTTATCGTTTGAGAGATGCCGCCTCGGCAGTCGGCAAAGTAGTTTCTCGGGAATGCTGCTGATGGTCGTAGGGGTTACATAAGACCGTGGCAGGTGGCTCGAACCTCGTCTCGTCTATGCTGGTTCAGATTGTTCAGAATCAGCTGGTTCAGCTGGTTGTTCTCTCCCGTGAATCCGCTCGCGCATTTTCGTTGATTTCGTGTTCCTGCGGCGTGATCGAAGGTAGGTTTTGACTTAAGCTGTCTGTGATTTAGAAAAAAAGAAAATAATCGAATTCGGATATCTTCGATTTGGACAGTTGGACACGTGCTTCCACTTTCCAGTGCAACTGCGTGCCTACCGCGGCACGTGTTGTGATTAGCGATTGTGTTTAATTGCAATTTATTTTCGCGTTAACTGCACTCGACAGAGACAATACTCAGACGAATATATTCGTTAAGATAAATATTACTTAACGTTTTTTTAAATTTGCGAATAGTCTCTATTTTCTTTCGTCGTTCTTAACCTCTTTTCAAAGTTACACACGATGTCATTGATCATAAATGCCAATATCTTGTAAATACTTGGAGACTTTTTCGGGAGAGATAAATTCTTAAAAAATACAGAGGCTATTTTACTTATCTAAATGTGCACACGTTTTGAAACACTTATATTAAAATTCTTGGTCTAAATTATTGTAAGTAACTTCCTTTATCAAGCTGAATTTGTAGGTGATATATATGTTCTTTATAGCAACTTGTGGTAGTTACAAAAATTTATTAAAAATTTAACAAAATTATTTTTATATTTAATACTGAAATCAACTGTAAAAGAAATTTATATTATGAAATAGAAGAATCTATTATACAAATGAAATTATCTTTCAATTGGATGTTATTTTTTCTACTGGGTTAAATGCAATAAGGATATAGCTATATCATCATTGTACGGTTATCATTTGTAGGAAATTATGTATTTATTATAAGTATAACATATATTTAAAATGTTATTTGTTTTGTAAGAGGATTAATTATATAAAGTTTACAGTGGGTCAATATTAAATCATTTAATTTTTTTCAGGAAGGTTGAATTCCATGTGAGTACAGAAACCCACGTAGAAAAATGCCGCAGAACGAATATATTGAGAGGCACCGTAAGCTCTACGGTCGCCGTCTGGACTATGAGGAGAGAAAGAGGAAGAGAGAGGCCCGTGCGCCTCACAAACGAGCGGAGCAAGCCCGTAGTTTACGCGGCATAAAGGCTAAGATATTTAATAAAGAGCGACGCAATGAGAAGATCCAAATGAAAAAGAAGATTAAAGCTCACGAAGAGAAGAAAGTCAAGGAGAAGTCCGACAAGCTACCCGAAGGAGCGTTGCCCGTATATCTGCTGGATCGTGACGTCACGAAGCGCGCGAAAGTGCTGTCGAATATGATAAAGCAGAAGCGCAAGGAGAAAGCTGGCAAATGGGACGTTCCGATACCGAAAGTTCGCGCGCAATCGGAGTCCGAGGTTTTCAAAGTGGTGAGAAGCGGCAAGACGAAACGGAAATCGTGGAAACGGATGGTGACCAAGGTGACCTTCGTCGGGGAGAACTTCACGAGGAAACCGCCGAAATTCGAGAGATTCATCAGACCGATGGCGTTGAGATTCAAAACCGCTCACGTCACTCATCCCGAACTCAAGGCGACCTTCTCCCTGCCGATCATTGGCGTCAAGAAAAATCCAAGCTCGCCCATGTACACAAATTTAGGTGTTATTACTAAGGGAACCGTTATTGAAGTAAATATCTCGGAATTGGGCCTCGTAACGCAGTCGGGCAAAGTAGTGTGGGGAAAGTTCGCTCAAGTTACGAATAATCCTGAGAATGACGGATGTATCAATTCCGTTTTGCTTGTATAGACTTTTTAGCGCTTGTGTTATAATTCCTAAATTGTGACGCTACTGATAATTTCTCAAATTCTTGATTGTACGTAACGGTACGTACGGCAACATATGCAGTAGTTTATATTAAAAAATAAGGATAAGTTATATTTTGTAAGTACATGTATACATATTTTTTGGACATATATTAGTAAAGATAAAGCCAGATAAAGCATGTTGTTTTAATACTTATTTAATATCATCTAATTTGTTCGCGCGTTGCTCAAATGATTTGATTTATTAATTTTGACAATGTATGTACTACTATGTTGTATTACTGTATCAATGATGCAAAAAAATTGAGAACACACACATACTGTCGAACAACATCTTTGTCGTAAGTATGACGATAACATAATTTTGCATCTACGTGAAATAAAAACCTATTTTATTAAATGAATAGATTTATATTTATTTTTATCAATATAAGGTCTGTTCTTTTTAGCTTATACTTTTTTATATATATTAAAAAAAGCAAAAAAAATCACTTTATCATTATTATAACAATGTAAAAAAAAAAAAAAATGCTAAGGGAAAACAAAAAATTTGGACAACATCACACGGTGTTCCCAAGCGGTCACCCATCCAAGTACTAACCGTGCCCAACGTTGCTTGACTTCAGTGATCGGACGAGAACTGGTTTTTTCAACGTGGTATGGAAGTTGCCCGTTAAGCTGTGGTACTCGTCAACGATTTAAACAGCGTTATGATTTGGTTATTTTCTAAATTTTGATTTTTTATGTAGCAATAAATGAAAATTACAAGAATTATTAGATCACTGAACACTCCACTGGGAGTTAATTACGTATAAAACGAGGTGAAAATCACAAAAGTGAACAGATTCACTAGATTTCGACCAATGAAATCGTAGATACTCTAGGGAATTTTCAGCCATTGGCCGCGTTCAGCAGAACAACTGTTGTCGTCTTCTCAACGCTCTGCGTTGATTGGTTAGTTCTCAAAGCAAGAACCAATCACGTTCGACTGCTACTGAGCGGCTTGGTCTGCTGAACGCGCCCATTGTTCCTACATCTATGATACATGCATGCTCTAGGGTTTTGTTTCCCATAGATCCGCTCGTTCTTTTTCGTGTTCTCGCAGCGTGGTCGGAGGTACGTTCTGGCTTGATTTTCTATAATTTAGAAAAGAAGATAGGATCAAACGCGAAGCTGTCGTATTTATTTTCGCATTTTGTTACTCTAAACGTCAAGTATTTCCGATTTATGACAATTTACGTTGTTTTGTGTCCGTGACGCGGTGAGAAAATATCTGCGGGACACATGGCGTGATAAACGTGATCCCCCGAGACGATTGTTCGTCTATTTATGTAGCATGTAGTTATTATTGACGGACCATATTGCAGCGATTGCACGGGATCGCAATTTGCCGCAATAATTGCGCTCGATCGGAATGATACTTGGACGAGCATTCGCCAAGATTAACGATTCTTCGCTCTTTTGACTGATACGTTGGTTAAGTGGTCTCCATTTTTATTCGCGTCTAACCTCTAACCTCTCTTCGGTTTACCACCCCGGTGGAACCTACCGAGAAAAAAAAGATATTGATATTACGTGCAAAATCTTGCGGACACTTTCAATATCGACTTTTCAGAAGCGCTAAAACGTCTCTTAAGGAATGTAAAAATTTAACTCTTTCAGCAAAGTATGCGTGTTTTATGACATCGAGGTTTTTTCCCACTACCTGTATATTTATTTTTACATATCTTTAATTTATCTTAAAGTTATGATATATTTTTGAATTGCCATTAAGAAATTCTTGGTCAAAATAATTAGGGAATTGTTTTCTTAATGGAGATCATCCAGCAAATGTCGCATGCTCCAAATATTTCTCCTAGCCTACAATCCTAATGTTACATATAATTGCATTTTTTAATTTGGCGATGTTTTTAGATTTGTATGAAATTCTTTAACAAAATTATATCCTATAGTTTTAATATTTAAAATTTAATATCCTAGTTTTGATTCTTGTATATGAATAGGAAGAAGTTTTGGACCATGCTACAATATCTATGATCTTTTTTAGTTGATTCTCGAAATTAATTTTAGGGTTTAAGGTTTAATTTGACCAATTGAAATATATAAATCAATGTGACGTGTTATAGAATCGCTGATCATGCAGATCTTCGTGAAAACTCTTACGGGGAAGACCATCACCCTCGAGGTCGAGGCGTCGGATACGATCGAAAATGTAAAGGCGAAAATTCAGGATAAGGAAGGTGAGAAAATTCTCGATATGCAGGAAGAATCAATCTTGAAGAATAACTAAAAATTTACGTTAAATTGATTGTTAAATAAGATCTACTTAAAATTAAATGAAAAAATATTTGTTTACTCCTTTAAAATTTAATTTAAAAACAATCTCGATATTTCGTCTTTTTTATTTCGAGAGAACCAACTGTTGAATCTTTGTATTTTTATCTGACAAAAATCGGCTTTTTGATCCAAGCGTATTATCTGCTGAACGTTTCGTAAATGTTATACATTTTTATTAATATTAAGTGAATTAGTATGTAAATTACTTTCATTTTCTCTAAGCGGGATATTTTACCGTTTCAGGAATTCCACCGGATCAGCAGAGGCTGATCTTTGCCGGTAAGCAATTGGAGGATGGCAGGACTTTGTCAGATTACAACATCCAGAAAGAATCCACTTTACACTTGGTGCTGCGCTTGCGAGGCGGTGCTAAGAAACGCAAGAAGAAGAACTACTCTACCCCCAAGAAAATCAAGCACAAGAAAAAGAAGGTTAAGCTTGCTGTGCTCAAATATTATAAGGTAAATTGTCTTCTTATTTCTTGCTATCCATTCTCGAGTTTTCCCTTTTTTATTTTCGTCATAATTTTCATCGTAGCGGTATGTATCTTAAATCGAGCATGAAAAATGATTTTGCAGGTAGATGAAAATGGAAAAATCCACCGTTTGAGACGAGAATGCCCCATGGAGCAGTGTGGCGCCGGTGTATTCATGGCGGCAATGGAAGACCGTCATTATTGCGGCAAATGCGGATACACGCTTGTATTCAATAAACCAGAGGACAAATAAATTCCCGGGATATATTTCCACGTACGCATTTTTGCAAATGTTACGTCCTTGTTATCCTATTTGATTTGATTAAATAATTTAATCGAAATACGTAACGATTATTCTGTCCCCGAACACTCTTTCACGTTACACCGGTCCTGTAAATGTCACGTTAAAGAGTCATTTACTCTTGGAAAATTGCAAAGAACTTCGATCTCACAAAGGGTTGTTCTAAAAATTATCTATTATTTTCCATAACATTATTTCACAGTGCCTAAATAGAAGCGCGTTTACACATTTAGTATAACTATACAATTCAAGTTAAATGTTCATGTTAACTTTAACATAATGCCCTATAATTAATTCATTTTGTACACATAGTATATGGAGAGCAATAATCGCGAACTCCAAAATAATATTAGGAAGAATACATATACATAATAATGGTTCCTAAATGCTATCGCGCAAAAAGATTTTACCGATAAATTTCGAATTAATATTTTATACACAAATACGTTCGTACAATTACTTAACGTATATAGATTTTTACATTTCCGACTTGCCTCGCCGTTCTGTATGTGCATTAAGACTCTTTAAGTTCGGCTTTAATACGGAGAACATCTTTTCCGTTGCAGTGGGATGAATGCTCATTTGTAGCTCCGTTAAAGATTCTTCTGTCTTTTAAAGCAAGCATAAAATATGAATGTCAAAAACAGTCTATAGAATATACAGAATGCGGAAAAATTATTCGGATAAATTTCGAACTTATTCAAATCTAAGAGAAAACTAAAAGCAAGAAAATTGTTATCTCTGTTTAAAAAATCTCTTTGTGTACATATTGTATTAATAGATTTATAGATTTGTGGGAAAAAAAAGATTTTTGTCTCAATTGAATAACCAATATTGTTTTGCACTTTGTGACTAATTTTTCCGCACGCGATATTTGTATCGTTAAATTCATTATACTTTTTTTAAGTCATCGTCTGAGCCTTACTTGTCTAAGCAATTGTGCAGCTGTGTGCAAAACCCTTTGCCATTTTCTCATCTCTACGTTGTGCAAGCTCTCCTGCTGTTGCAAAAGGTTAATCCAATCCTCTTCAGTCTTTGGCGTATTTCTGAAAAGCAGGAAGGCACATTATAACACATATAAAAGAACGGTACTCTCCCCTATGTAAAAGAAATCGACAATACATACTTGAGTACGTGTAAGTCCATGATGGTGTACGCAGCAGCTTCTTCCAATCCCCATAGTTTATAATATAGCAAACCATTAATCACCATTAAACATAGTACAGCGACTAGCAGCATTGAGCTGAGAATTATGTTAGTATCGCTCCTAGTATTAGCAGCTGTACGGAAGAGAAAACATGTACATTGAATTCACACTATATAACATTGCGAGTATAATAGAAAAATATGGTGTTATTACTGTGAATGTGCGGCGAGTTAGAGGGAGAAATTTGATGATTCGCAGATATATGCTCGGACGCGTGTGTCTGCAATGTAGCACCTACTCCCGCCGCGCGTCGTCGTTTTCTCGTTTTTCTCTTTATACCTCCGTTTCCATTACCTTCCTCGGACTCCACCGTCAACGCTTTTATCAAACTATTGGTATATTCTTCCAAGCCCGCCCAGCAATTCTTTTCAATCACACCTATTTTTTTCGGAAACAAAATACGCCAGTTTATTCTTCAATATCTTATCGTGTGTACGTCAAATATTTCGCGTCTTGGAATGACGAGTATTATAATTCAAGAAACGCAAACTTTTGATAAATATAAGAAATCGAAAAGCTCAACTAAATTTATAAAACTATAAGAAAATAATGTTTACGTATCAAGGAATTAGGAATAATTATCACGTCGGTAAGCTGATTACAGACTATCTTTCATAGACAATAATCAATGTCTTTAGTATAATAACAAAAAAACAGATTAGATTCCAGATAAGATTCATAACGCTAAATCTTATCCGCGAAAATAATTTAAAAACAAGTTCGTACCTTCAACTTTTAAATCCGTATCTAATTTGCAATCTTCTAGAAATTTTATCGAATTATAATACTCTCTTTTTCCTCAAACTGCGATTTATAGTCTTTAATTTTGAAACTTACTTTTCACAAAACCCCATACACTCTTTTTATATTTGATTTGTGAATAAATCACAAGACTTGTCTCGTTATCGGAAATACTGTTCATACAATAGTGCGTGGAAACACTGAAGGAATCGGCATAAGGTATTCCGGCATTAGCGCTGTCTACATCGATGCAATAAAGATGACCTGGTCTACTACATGGCAACATCACCTGTATAAAATGCCGTATTAAAAAAAAGCATAATATGTATAACATAAATTATTAAAGAGAATTTTATTTTTACCTGGGTCTCTGTAACTTGGCAAGTTCTCGGACCAATAGCTTGGGTTAAACACATCGTGTACGAAAGAGTTCTCATCTTTTGTCCAGTTTGACTGTTTTGCGTCCAGGCAGATTGTATTAAATCTACGCAAGTGAAAACATTAGAAACAGGCAATAGAAATAAATCTATCTATCTATTATACGGTGCATATATACATATATGTACATATATAGCGTTATACATATAAATAATATGTTAGCAACTATGAATTAAAGTTTATTTTTACAAACCATTTTAAATCCACATTTGAAAAAGACGGAGATTGTATTAACAAAGTGGAGAGAAAGAGAAAGAGTGAGAAGAGATTATATAATACATAGGCTGCTTCCGATATTCACTGTCAGTATTGAAAATCTATATTTTTTATATTTTACGTCACATATACCATAAATTTTCAGTACTAACAGTGCTGGCAGTAAATATCGGAATGCAACCATAATCTCTATTTTAAAAACGTGGCTTCAAAACGATTTTGAAACAAGCTTTTTAATATACTTTGAAATATCCTGAAATGTGGATGCATTCTTTAACGTGACAGACGTGATAACGGAATTTATTATCTTGTTACCAATAGTTTTGCGAGAGGTATGAAAATCTAAGAAGAATTTCGAATTCGTGAAGAGCAGAGTGAACAGCTGGTCGATGTAGATAGGCAATGTTGCTTTGTTAACTTGCCGACCTTCATGCAGAGAGGTACAGACCATGGTGCTCCGTATGTTCATTTTCACTGGAACAAGCATTATCATGACCGCGTTACGTGCTGTCATTCGTAATTCAACAAGATGAATAGCATTTATATATTTTCAGACAGGTCCCGATTTCTTATCAAAGTGTCACACGACATATCTTGTTTCCATTTGTGCATTATATATCTTATTATCAGCGGTTTAAGAGTTAGTTCGCCAGAAAAATAAATTTAATGTTAATATTTACAAAAGAGCCTAAAAGTAATGCAGATGCACACAATATTTATTTACTAAACTACTTGGATTGGGAAGATATTTTTATAATTAAGTTGAAGAATCGTCTGAGACTACTTACAGGCATGTTTCTCAGCCTCGCTTTCCGTTGTGTCACTTAAATCCGTTGGATCGAGAACAGGTTCGGGCTTAGGTATTGACGGAGCTGGTGGCTGAACCTGGGGTTCAGTAATTGAAGAAGGCTCAGCGGGAACAGGATCCGCGGTTGGAGATGATGTATTTTCCATAGCGACTGCTTCGTTCTTTATTTTTATTAAATAGAAAAAGAATTTAAAATAATGTTGATGTTTAGAAACTAGATATTTTTTATCGTACAAATTTCGATTTATACACAGATATATAAGTTTATCTTCTTCAATTTACGTTAAGAGTTTATTAATCTACGAGATCCCAAATCAGTTAAAAATATTAAGCTGTAATACAAAAAAAATTTGTCGCATTTATCAAATACATCTTAGATCATTTTAACAATTTGTATTAATCAAATTTGCCATCGTTGTTTCAATACATTTTCTCCATAGAAATTTTTTCAGTAGATAAACGAAAATAGAGCTATTATCCTCTCAATATACATTAATAACATAGCACATGACAATCTCTCAAAAAACAATATTATTTAACAGTTTATAAATATTGTTAGGCTTACCTCGGAGAAGGATTCTACAGAAAGGCGAGTTGCTAACTTGTCGTCGTCTCCCACAGGTAACGGCGGCACATAATCTTCGTCATCAGACGTCAAGCCTAATTCATCACCGTAGCAGGTATGCACAAGCTGCCACATTTCAGCCATACTCATTGGCTGAAAATATAGCAATAGTAGAATTTTTTGTTTGGAAAAAAGGAAAACTTTAAGAGTACGAAATATGTCTTTATAACGTGCGATTAATGCTCATAGAAATATGTTCTTGGAAATAGAACAAAATATTGATGGCTTTATCTAGATATCGCAGATAAAAAGACAAATGTCGTTCCTCAAATAATACATATACACTCAATAACTGAAATGTACCTCGTATGAAGTACATCAAATTACTAAAGCAGACTCGGTATACTCAGTGTTATCAATGTTATTGTAGCCAAAGTGTACTGAGAATTATTCAAGGTGTTCCAAGAAAATATCAGTTTATCAAGTGTTAGCAAAAACGCGCTATAACGCGAGACAATTGAATGGGGTAACACAAAGCCAGGTCTTACTATATAGTCCATTCGAAGTATCTCCACTTTAATTTATTTTAATTAAGAAATAAATTCTCTGAAAATCTAAAGGTTTTTTATCCAATGTCATGCTAAAATTTCCAGATATTATTTATGAATGTATCTCGACATAAAAATATTTTTTTCGAGAGATGATTTTCTCAAAATAAAATCTTACAGTAAAAAGTCTTGAATTAAGTCCACCTTTATATAGATGATCTATAATTCCCTCTTTACGTACATATCTTTTAATTCTTCTAACATTTTTCCTCTTATGCGCGACATGTAAAATTATAAATAAGAATTCTAACGCAAATTACAAATCATCTAAAGTGGACTTCAGTTATATACGATATACGCATACCTCGCCAATAAGAGCATTTTGCCAAACACGAAATAACATCACATATGTTTTATCTCTCGCTCCAAACGACGTTAGGAAGAACTTGTCAGTCACGGTGCATATCAGGATGGCATTTGGAATGACAAGCGCAGTTTTCTCTTTGGTAATAGATGTAACGTCTTTCCAACGTAGGGAGACCAGTGTCTCCCACATAAAGATATTAGCATAAAAACACACATAATTCTGAGACACATAAAGTCTACCGTGTACCAATATCTCACGCTGCAGGGCACAAGAATAATCTAAAAGTCACAAAACTAGATTAATTAAATCGTGGAATGTTAAGTATTGTGTTGTCACGATCGCGTGGACATAAACGGATGTAAAGTTAGTTCGAGTACAAGTGTCTCGTAAGGAATACAAATGTCCCATAATACAATTCCTCGTAGGAGAGAACATTCTTAAAAACATTACTTACCTACCACCAATCTCTCATCGTCAGGCACATCTTTAAATATTCGCCTAAAGTCCTCGGAGCGAGATTTATAAGTTGGATAAAGTACATTGTACCAAGAAGACTTCTTTTTGCTCCGATCGCTGCTACGTGCCTCTTTTTTACTCTCATGAGTCGAACTCTTGTTGAGATCGGCCGAGTCGGACGATCTACTTATTATATCCTGTAACATTTATACGAAATATATTATACGAGTCCTCGTCGAGAAATGCATCAGGTATGTGCTTCGGTATATGTGTACCTGCTGATCGTCTGACTTGTTTGCGCGGAACGACTCCTTAATGGCAGAATCGGAGTTCAATCTGGAATACTCTCGCCTGGAGTGGGCTCTCGGGCTGGGACGCGGGGACAGATTGGGACTGGACACGGGGCTGTTACGATCGACGCCGGTGTTGGCGGACGTCTCCTGTGCATTCTCGTTTCCTAAATTTGTCGAGCCCTGATTGCTCAGACCGGAAGAATTGATGCTGCTGATCACTTCGTGGCTAGATATCAAGAGATTCTCCACAGATTTGTTCCTGTTTACAACAGACAGAGAGAAAGAGGCAGTGAATCAGGGATCAAATAACGCTTTATGTGACCGGGTATTCTCGCGGTGCATCATGCGAAATTGACTGCTCGGGAAGTCGACGATTAGGTACGTACATGCTTGACGCCGAGTGCCTCTGCGCCGTCTCCGTCTCGTAGTGCATAACAAATCACGCGGCGTTAGCGTCCACGCATTCGTGGCCGGAGCTGTCAAACATCGAAAGCTTTTGAGAGAATGGCTCTCCTCTGGGACGCGAGGTCTAAAGTCGAATAGGCGTTACGCGAAAAGAGGGTGGGCTTCACCGGGTTACTGGGGGAGGGAGGGGAGGAGACGGAATAGTAGCGTGGCAATTTGTAGCGTGATACAAGCGTTGTGCGTGTTCGGTTAGTTATGCGTTTAGTTGGCGGCGAGGAGGAGCGTTTTTTTTTTATCCGCGCGCCGGACTATTGGTGCTTGCGCCTACCGCGATAAGAGCGACACATTTCAGATAAGGGGCGGCCGCGCGTCGTCGCCGTGTCAGGCATCACCCGCTTCATATCGCGGCGGCGGTCGCACGACCGCGGCCGTCGGACATCGTCGTCACTGGTCGTCACACTCGTGTCACTTGCGTTTCGTCGGACCTTGGTCTTTCTCCTCCCGTTCCCGCGTTATCGGTTATCGCGTGAGGAAAAAAATATGAGTCTCTCCCTCCCTCGCCCGCGTACACACACGCCACAAAGGCACAATCGTCACGCACGTCGCGCACGAAAGTGCTGCGGTACCGTACTGCACCGTACTTGACCCGCGTACTGTCGATCACGGAGCATGGAATTACATGGAATGACGGGGGATGTCGGGGATGACCAAGCGCACGCTCGCTATACAAGACGCTACATTCAAAAAAGCGCAACGGTCGAGCGATCGGCGCGCGCGCGCCCCGGCCGGCCGACCAATCGTCGGCTACCGGAGACGCAACGTGCGACCGACGCCGATTGGACGATCTCGCGTAGACGCGACGGATTGGCGGGTCAGATCGCCGCCGAATACGACTCGAATCCATGGCGAAATGCTCCGATTTTATTTTCTAAATTCTGAATTTTCTCCTGCATTCTATACTGGCAATTACACAACGTATTCTTTTTTTGTAGGGCTTAGGCTGTGGTTCACTTGACGCTACAAATGCTTCGAAGCATTCCTCTTCTCTTTTCTTTCAATGAAGAAAAGAGAAGAACGCTCCAAAGAATTTGTAGCGTCAAGTGGACCGTAGCCTTAGAAATCTTATATATATTTTTTAAACTGACACCGCGATTCTGGTGGTTGAAAATTCAAAATGAAGAATTTCGTTAAAAAGTCAAATATCTTTAATTAGTACGCTATATTATTACACTTTTATATCGCCTAATTTCTCAGCTGCTTCCGCTACCGCATTCCCGTCCTTCTCTTCCTTCTCCTCTTCGGACTCCGTATCGCTTTGCGGAAAATCAGGAAGCGCTAAGAACAAATGTATAATGGATATCAAGATAAAAATTAATCGATGGAGGACGGAAAGAGGATTGTTCAATATATCCTTACCAAGTCTATCTAATTTCTCTTGCCAGGCATTCTTCAGATATTCCTCCTGTGTAGCGATCACTTCTTTGCTGCTCGCGCAGCGAGCATACTTCTCCAACAGCTCGCCGTTCAACTCCAGAAACGCGTGTCCCCACGAGAACTTTCCGAGATAGAGATTGGCCTCGTCCGGAAATCCCGTTATAATCAAAGTAGCCGCTATAGCTTCGACGCAGCTCAGCTGACAAGGTTTCCCGTAGTTTATCGGATTGGCGGCGACTAAGAACGGCAGTAGGCGAGGATGGGGTGTCTTCATTCTGTTGAAGGGAGTGTCGTCTAGGCGCGCCCAGCTGCAATCCACGACCGCGCAGCCGTACTCCCGTACAATGTCGCAATCCGTCGGGCTCACGCACTGTAACGTCACGCAAAACATTGTCGTGAAAGTTTTTACAAAACAAGGCCGAGTATCAGTAACATTTGTCCGTTCGTTCACTGGCTACCTTATCGCTGATCGGGGTGAGACACAAGCCTGGGAAACGAGCGCCCAGTCGCAGGATCTTTATCAATCCGTGTCTGGCGAGCTTCCTTCCGGAACACTTCTTGGGATCGCAGTGCTCCATGTCCCACATAGCCACGGGAAACTGGACCGACCGCTCGTTGACCTCTGCAAATTCAGACCGAGGTCGTTAAAGCGCCAAATCTTGGCAAGGGTTTGCGACCCGCCTAACCTGCCTCATCGTCTTCGTCGAGTTCCTCAGATTCCTCGCCGCTCTCCCGATAGTGCTTTTGCTCCTTGCCGAGTACGCGACGGGGTTTCCTCTCCAACAATTTGTTCTTGTTCCTCTTCCTACGTCCCGACATCTTTCCGGTCGGGAGTGCTCAGGAATACGCTGGATTAACTCCGGATATGTTATTTCTCCAACATATAACCTATAACGTATAACCTATAAGCAGCGCATGTGCGACAAGATTAAAAAGAGCGAGAGTGAAACCGAGGGCCAAAGTTTAAAACAATTTAACGGGTTAAAAGTTTGATTCCAAATTGAGAAGAAGGTTCGATTATGACGTTTGTATTATTTATAACATATGGTCTTGGTCAACAACAAGTCAATTTCCTCGTACGCGACACGTGACTCACGGCACTCACGCCGATTCATACGAACGCGACTTTAAACTACGCTTCGCGTGAAGTCAGGCGCAATCGATACGTACAGTACATACATACTCGAAATATATATGTAACGCGTCGCATATATATACTCCTACGTCGACTCGAAAAATCAAGACTTTTTTCGATTTCTCCTTTTTTCTAATTCTTTAGAATTAGAAAGGGATAAAAAGTCGTGCCGAGATCAAGATTAATCTACGTCAAATAAAAATGAACATATTTCTATCGATGTAATTAACTTAAATCTCGCTTAACTTATTTTTTTTTTAATAAGAGAGTTAGAAAAAGTAAGAAATTAATCTACAATACGTTGGTAGAAGTGGACATAAAAAGGGGTATTCGCGCACCTGAGTAAAGGATCATTAACGCAAATCTAAAAAAATAGCGACCGCGTTCCTTATTGACGCTGGGCTAATATATAATCAAGGACAGAAACGCCGCGGATTTGCAGATATCGCGTCACCGTGAAAAACGCGATAGACACCGCAGAGAACGCGGAAACGCGAGGTGCCCGCGTGCGCGTGACGAAATACTTAACAGCCGATCGGACGACGTCGGTCCCTTTCACCCGCGATTGGTCCCACCGTCTTACGTAAAAGCACGATCGAGTTTATCCGCGTGTTTCGAGTTTTATCCACTGGTTTCAAGTGTTCACCTCTCTCGCGTATGTATACACAAATAAAATACACATACAGATTGCGCGCAACACGCACACGTAATCATTGACAGCAGCCCGCAGGCGCGCCGCCGCGCCGACGCGACGACTTGTCACTTGTCACGTCAGTTCGCTCGAAATCGCAACGGCGCGAGCGTTTGCGTTCACGTCTCCTCTCTTTTCTTTCTAACAGGTAAATACATCCCTTTAAACTGTTTTAAACGCGCAAACGGAGCGCCGGAGATGACGGGTCGCGAATGCTCGCGGATTCATCTCGAATTCGTCTCGCCACGGAGAGAGGAGAGGAAACTCGCACGCGTGTCTCGTCTCGTCTACGAAGAGCTCGAGGAGTCGCCTCCTCGCGAGGGAGGAGAGCGAAAAGCTTCGCATCCCTTCTTCCCTTTCGAGGGATCCTTCTTGCGAATCGCTTCTCGTTCCGGGCGCACTCGACGTCCTTTATCGTCCCCTCCCGGTGCGCAACAATATGTTGTCACCCGAGTTATACAATCCGCTCTCACCTGGCAAAGGCTCGAGCGATATAAACGTGCGCTATGTGTGGGACACCAGGATCAGGTGATAGTGGATGCGCGTACGCGTCCACTTTTTTAAATGTTTTCGAGACAGGTAGTGAGTTATTTTTTTCCTCCTACGTGCGTTTCATCTTCTCGTTACGATCCTTGAGAGAGGAACAGAGCCTGGTCGGAACGATACGAGCGGCGATCAGCGTTACGCCAAATGAGGCAACGATCATCGAGTCGTGTGAATCGTACATGAGTTCGGCTGATGAAATCCTTGTCGCTCGTTGTGGTTCAAGGGCGAATGTTATCTTAATGCTCGATGTGTCGTTGCAGATGACGAGGATGGGCCGGAGCAGCGTCTGAGCGTCGGATCCCGCCCCGAAGCGAAATTTCCAAGTGCCACAGTTATGTACATGCGAGTGCTGGCGGTCTATGGGAAAAGATTCGGTTTTAAATACTGGAAGATGTCCGATACGTGCATACAGGAGCGATAGATAATCGGACGAGCTGCCACGAGGAAATATACGGACTGTTGAACTTATCGGTGTGTGCACCCCAGCTGGATACTATGTCGGGCGCTGGGCCTATCATATCGCAAACCATCGCTCATCTGGAGAAGGAGAAGGAGCACGGGCCTGTCCCGACCGCAGATTACTCCAGCATCAGAGGCAAGGTATGTCGGGACGCTTATTCTATCCTAAGTCACCTCTCCTGGATAAGTTTTACAATATCTTTTAAGAATGTGGATTACTGTGAATTCTAGAACGTCTTGGTCAGTCCGTCTGAGGATCAGTACGAACTGTTGCTGAGGAGGCTGAAAGAAAGGATTCAGGATGGAGGCAGCGAGACGATCTTTGACATTGGCATCGCTGAAGGTCAGTACCGGAAAAGATATATTGAAAAAAAAAGAGATATGCGTGATCATTGCTGGATACGTTGCATTAAACTTTTTGTCTACGCGATGCTCTCAGATGGATCCGAGGACGGATTGAAGGAAGATGAGTACGAAGCATCGGTTGCCACTTTACAGTCTCTTGCCGCGACATTGGAGGCGGACTGCGTGCTTCTACGTCAGAGTAAAGCAGACCACGGTCTAACGGGACAGTACCTAGTGAGGAGACGTTTAGATCGACAGGATTTCTTGGAGATCAGGTTTGTAGTTAATAATATAGTTTTTGGATCGCTCGATAGTGTACACCTAGCTGTAACATGAATTATATATGCTGTAAAATAACTGTTCATAGGGTTGCTGTGGTCGGTAATGTGGATGCTGGTAAATCCACTCTATTGGGAGTACTGACTCACGGTGAACTTGACAATGGACGAGGATTGGCGCGTCAGAAATTATTCCGCCACAAGCACGAGGCTGAAACAGGACGGACTAGCTCTGTGGGCAACGATATACTTGGATTCGATAGCGTTGGTGAGTGATCGGCTCTCCATTGCGCACTTTATGTGATTATTCATCTATACTATTAGCGTCATTATATATTTACAGGTAACGTAGTTAATAAGCCTGAGCACGGGTCATTGGATTGGGTGAAGATATGTGAGAAATCCTCCAAAGTAATTACATTTATCGATCTCGCCGGTCACGAGAGGTATTTGAAGACGACTGTCTTTGGAATGACGGGACACGCTCCAGATTTCGGTAAAAATACACATTGTATAGTTATTGTAACTACAGTAAAATCCGGAATCGAATTAGAATAAGTTGATGAAGGTATTTCCTTTTTTTGTCCGCGATATCGGCATGACATTTGCAATTATGCAATTCAAAAGAACTCCGTGAACGCATCGTAATCTCAATGCAAATGTTATTCCAGGTATGCTAATGATCGGAGCAAACGCCGGTATTGTAGGGATGACTAAAGAACATTTGGGACTTGCCTTAGCGTTGTCCGTACCGGTATTCGTTGTCGTGACGAAAATCGATATGTGCCCGCCGAATGTTCTGCAAGAAAATCTGAAGCTGTTGATAAGGATTCTGAAATCGCCTGGTTGCAGGAAGGTCCCGGTTACAGTGAAGACTCCCGACGACGTGGTAGTTAGCGCTACTAATTTTGTCTCAGAACGGTTAGTTCGATATATCATCAGAATTCTATGTGAAAAAAGGAAGAAAGTACTAGAATGATATTCATAAAATAATGCGATATTTGTTTCGTACAGGTTGTGTCCAATATTTCAAGTGTCCAACGTGTCTGGCGAAAATCTAAATCTTCTTAAGATGTTTCTCAACTTATTGACTGCGAGAATTACTAGTCATGATGATGAACCTGCTGAGTTTCAAATAGACGACACATATTCCGTGCCGGTACGTACATCATATTACATAAATCTTTTTCGAGTATACGACAAGAATGTATTATGAGAATTGAAAATTACAGGGAGTCGGTACGGTAGTGTCCGGTACAACTTTAAAGGGTATCATAAAGTTAAATGACACGCTGCTATTGGGACCCGATCCGCTCGGTCGTTTTACACCTATAACCGTCAAAAGTATCCATCGAAAGAGGATGCCTGTCCGCGAAGTGAGAGGTGGGCAGACGGCTAGTTTTGCTCTGAAAAAGATTAAACGATCGCACATTCGCAAGGGTATGGTAATGGTCGCACCTGCACTTAATCCACAGGCCTGTTGGGAATTCGAAGGTGAAATTTTGGTCTTGCATCATCCTACAACAATTAGCTCCCGTTATCAAGCTATGGGTAATTATCGTTTTGGACGATTATTGTTATACCCTCATCTCTCGTATAAATAAATGATTCCTAAAATTATTGCAGTACATTGCGGCAGTATAAGGCAAACCGCTTCTATATTGTCAATGTCTCAGGATTGTCTAAGAACAGGCGACAAAGCCTTAGTACACTTTAGATTTATCAAACATCCTGAATACATAAAACCTGGACAGAGAATGGTCTTCAGAGAAGGTCGTACTAAAGCAGTAGGAAATGTAGTGAAACTTATACCGCATTCGAATAGTATAACTACGCAGGCATCCAGAATTAATAAGCCGAATAAAACATCGCAGAGTCGGCAGAATGCGAACTTGCAGGTATCTATGCTGTACTTGATATAAAAATTTAAATGATCATTGTCTAACATTTTATTTATCGTTCCTTCAATTCGCATAATTATGTAAAAACTTTTACTATTTTTATTAGTTTTACAGAAATATAACAACGAATAATTTTTCTGTTTTAGGCACTGGAAATAACCGAAACTGATTCAATGATTGAAGCACAAACAGCTAAACAGGAGAACATGCCGCAGAAATCTGGGCTGAATCAGAATAAGAAAGGCAGAGGTCGAAGAGGGGGACGATCTCATAACGCTATCAATAGTATTCAGCCTTTAACAGAGCAGAACCCACCTGCAAAAGTGTAAGAGCCGTCAGTGTACAAAGAACACATAATTAGTGTTCTTATAACTTTCTGCTACATATGAGTTTCTCAAAATGTGATCTATAACATAAGATATGAAATTATCGTATTCTTTAACAAAAATTTTCTTTTCCTGATAGAAAAAAACTACACCCTATAGACTGTGTAGGAACCCCTATTCTTTATAAATTTATTAGAACACATCAGATACTACAAATTTATTGCAGTACAATTTTTCATGTTTCGACTACTTTAATCATATTAAAAAGATATTCTTTTAATAACGTGACAAGATATAAATCGGTATTTAAAAATTATAAATTATTTATAAATTATTTTTGTAAAAGGCGTATGCGCGTATCTTAAGCCAACATCATACACAGATGAATTCAATATCAGGAAATACATGACACACGTGTGTATCGGTACATATACATTTGTACAAGAGATTATGCAAATTCTTTTTATTAACGCTTCTAGAATTTAATAAAGATAAAACTTGAAATATGGCCAATGCTGTGTATATCGTAATAATCCATCTTGTATGATAATTGATTAATATCAAGAGAATATAATCACACTATACTTCGTTCAACCTTGTAATACATTTTGCAATTTCAAGCAGAGCTGTATCATACTATATTTCAAATATATAAAAAAAAGAAAATTTTCCATTGTATCAGACATATGTATATTCCCTAATAAATCACTCACGTGCTGCTGATTACGGAGAGAAAAAAATACATTTCTTTCACAAATTCAAGTCATTTCTATATAATTGAACACTTATTTATTATAAGTTGTACATATTGCTAAAACATTGTGATCAGAAATGTATTAAATAAATGGAAATCTTGTTTTACTACATAGAAAATTTTACAAATTTCATTATCCTTCACAGTGACAAAAATTACTTAACAATTCTCATCGCTGTTCAATCTAAATACAGAAACCGTATGCAAGGTTTGGCAAATAAATTTATATGATCTACAAATCGGCTATTTCTTAAACTTATTTTTTTCCTCTTCTAATTGTCGCTTTAATCGGTTTGCGATATCTCTCAGCTGTTTAATAAAGTCTTGTGGACTAGATATAGGGCGGCGCGTCCCGTTAATCATGCCTGCTCTAATTAGTACGTACACTACAAATTGTGCGGTTTGTCTTATTGGTTTAGATTCTGCTAACTTATTAATTAAGTTTTCATTATTTAATAGGTACCGGAAGAGAGCTCTTAGAGGCATCCTCGAAAATTATTTTTCTATATATCCTCGCAAACACATGCGCGCTTTATACTTTCGGTATCTCGAACGTGCACGTGTTACGATATTTCAATAGAAGTTCACGCTTCAGTCTTAATTGCTTGCGCAAAGTCTCGAGCTTTTGCAGCTGTTCTTCCTTGCTATATTCTATCCCAGGTAATCTCTTGATCTGCAAAAAGTGCAACAGTGTCATATCGAGCATCTCTTGGGCAGAAGAATACTACTCTTACCTGCGACCTTGCGGAGTCTAGCTTCTTCTGTAATTCCAAGATCTTGTGGCTGGTGTCCTGCGACTCCTTTGCCTTTTGCGTAGTGTCATGCGGATCTTTCTCGACGCTGAAAATCACAACTAACAGCACCATCTTATGTAAATACATCGGAGATATAAACATTCATGTATCCACATTTAATTGACAATCCACGTATTGTTTCTATCCGTTGCGCATTATTGCACAGAGCGTTCCTGAAACGCTTGGATAAACCTCTCAGGAATTTCAGTTATATAGTTATTGAGTATTGTCAAGTAAGAGAACAAGTGTTTGCAGATTTACACTCATATGACATCACTCTAATTAATGGTCAATGGAATACATTGATGGAGTTTGATCAAACATTTCAGAAACAACCTATGTTTGGCGACTCAACCATCATTCTTATGAATTTTTACTATTATTTGATATCTTTGAGTATGTATAGCTAAAGTATCTCTACATGTAACACGAGAAAACAAACTGAATCGCTACGAGAATGTTTGCCCTTTTCCTCTTGAAGCTATGTCTCAATTTATAGCCGCTTGCGCAACCACCGTTATGTATTTTGCATTTATTTTTTACGAGTAGGTACAATTGTTTCCACATTGCAGCGAATAACTCGAATACGAAGAAGCGACAGAAATGCAATAAAAAAACGCGGTTAATATCTTGGAAGTCCTCAAAGGGAAAAAAAGAAACTTTTTTTTCGAAACTTTATAAAAGCGGCGCTGAGAAAATTTTGATCCAGGTCGATTTGAGGTTATGTGATCATCTTGGACGTTGACGACTCGCCCGAGCATGGGAACCAGGAGGGATCGTCGGGAATACGTACCTGCGAATAATCTCGTAAATGAGCGGCAATATTTCCACGTCTAGATCGTCAACGGTGAATTGGGTCCTCAGCGAAACGTCCTCCGACTCCACCGCCTCCATTGTGTCGGGAACATGACAGATAAGAGATGTGTTCTTTGTAGCTGCACCGCGTCATACTTTCTGCACTTGAGGTACAAATAGACACGTGATTGGACGTCGGCGTCGGGAAAAAATCTAAACAATTTGACAAGTTATAATTAGATTTAATTGTTTCTTGCACTAATGTTGCACTTTCTGCATTAAAAAAGGAATAGTGTATGTATAATTAGATGTCAGAGAGGAGAAGAGGGAGAAAAGAAACAAAAAAAAACAAGCTGCTTCTTTCTTTAGCAGTGGGCGCGTTCAGCAGACCAAGCTGCTGAGTAGCAGTCGAACGTGATTGGCTCTTACTTTTAGAACCAACCAATCAACGCAGAGTGTTGATAAGACAAACTCAACAGTTGTGTCTGCTGAACGCGGCCAGTGACGTCTCTTCGGAGATTCTCGCGCGAGAATCCATGTGAACGGGGCTTGAGCCTGCTGACGTTCTGCCGCTACGTTCACTCCGTTCGACGCGCAGCGACGCAGCCGCTGTCCGCGCTTCTGCTCTCCGATATTTCCGACGGGTTCTCTCTCCATGGAGATGGAGTAACTGCGAATAAATTGACAGGGAGAGAGTCCGCGAGTTGTACGCGAACGGGCGTACTACGCCCAGAGAAATATTCTACTCGGGAATTCCAGCAAGACATCGAGCGATAAAATGGACGAAGCGAAATTTCTGAAGAGGTAAGGGGAAGCTGTCTGCTTCTGCATCTGTCAAACGATCTGTCAGTCGTCTGTCAAATATGATTCTTTCACGTAGGACGTGTCTTGAAACGTTCGATAAACGATAGTCTCGCGTAAATATCTCGTGGAATTGAACACGAAAAAAAAATTTAGCTAAAGGATTTGCTGCTATATATACGGACAACTAACATTTTTTGCTGCGAGAGCTAATTAATTTTGCAATAATAGTAAAATCTTTTGCTGCTAGCAAAGTTCAGCAAAACTGTTTGCTATTGCAACAAAATGTTTTGCTATTATTGCAAAATTAATTAGCTCTCGCAGCAAAAAATTTTAGTTGTCCCATGTTTAACAAATAGATTTGCTGTTGCAGCAAAACCTTTTTTTCCGTGAATTGTAACGCGGCAGATTTATGTAATTCTCATATTCGACGTTTATAGGAAAGTGAGATCCGGGACGTTGGACGTCCACCCAACGGAGAAGGCTCTCGTGGTGAATTATGACGTCGAGGCATTGATATTGGGGGAACTGGGAGATCCCATGCTTGGTGACCGCAAGGCACGTATTTTCTTATTTCACTTATGTGAAGAAATATAATTGACTCGCAATTGATCTGAGCTCTATTGATACATTTGCCCTTGCGTACAGGAATGCCAGAAGATAATCAGGCTGAAGAGCTTGAACGCGGACACGAATGTTTCTCTCTTGGCGAAGGAGGTGATGGAAAAGTGCTCGTTGATACACGAATCCAAGTTGCACGAGGTCGAGCAGTTGATTTATTATCTACAAAATCGTCGGACCAATGACATCGGCGCAGGTAACGTAACGCGGTTTTTACGTTTGCAGAACCCTAGAAGTTTACTTGAACTTTTTAATTTTTGTAGGTAGCGGTAGTAATTCTCAGCCGCCAAGACCGGCGTCGACGAATTCAATGATCACGGAGAATAGCGAGATTGAACGTGCGGTCATTAGTAACGTCGACAGTTACATCGAGTTATTGTACGAGGAAATACCGGGCAAGATTAAAGGTTCATCGTTAATTTTACAATTAGCGAGGGTACCTGACAATCTTTTGGAATTGACCAAAAATGGTAATCCTCGCGTTATGTACCTTCTTCTATAAATAATAATTTCTGGATAATAATTTTAATTTTTGACTCGTGTGACGATGAGAATATTATATACCGTTGAAAATATTTCATTGGTTAATATTGTTATAATGAAGTTGTTTTTTTGTTCTCATACAGAATCATTGTTAAGTGCATTAGCTCGAGTCCTGAGAGAGGATTGGCGGCGCAGCATAGAATTGTCTACGAACATCATTTATATTTTCTTTTGCTTCTCAACGTATAGCCAGTTTCATAATATTGTGCTCGAATACAGAGTAAGTTGCGAATGCTGATGAAACTTATTGTTAAATAATCAAGTACCTCTAGAACTACATTCGTATTTATTTTTTTCTGTACAGATTGGCTCTCTTTGTATGGATGTAATCGATTTTGAATTACGTCGCTATGACCAGTGGAAGGAGGACATGGAGAAACGCCGGAAACAATTTGAGAACACCACCGGTCTAACGTTTTTCCCGGCGAGCAATAATGACAATTGTGATAGGAAGATCAGGATCATCGACGATATTTGGAATATGGAGGGTCCGTTGGATTATGAGGTGAAGAGACGATCTGCGGAGGTATCTGTGACTGTATCCGAGAGTGACGTTAAGAAGCTGAAGGAGGAACTTGAGAAAAGTCGCAAGAAGTTCAAGAGTTTGACCAAGAAGCAAGAGCAGCTGCTGCGAGTTGCATTTTATCTACTCTTAAATATTGCTGAGAATGCTATGGAAGTCGAAAGGAAAATGCGTAAAAAGAATGTCATCGGTATGCTGATTAAAACGTTAGACAGGACGAATACTGATCTGTTGATCCTGGTTGTCACATTTTTGAAGAAACTATCGATCTTTCGCGAAAACAAAGATCTTATGGTAAATATTAAATAATATTTTATATAAATCTTCGAATATCTGCGTTATGTAACAAATATAGATATAAATTGTTCATATATCACTTACAGGCAGAAGAAAATATTATAGACAAATTACCGAGGCTCTTACAAAACAATAATCCCGATCTTATATTAAGTACCTTAAAATTGTTATTTAATCTCTCTTTCGATGCTAAATTGAGAGCCAGAATGATTAGAGTTGGTATGTTACCAAAATGGATAAAATTGCTTAGCCAAGGTAAGATTTATTTAAAAAGTGACTAAGGAGATGTATATAATTCTTTTTTTTAATATGAGAATGTGTAAAATAAAATTTCTACGTGATATCTATTCAATATATTTATGTGTCGTCAATATTATATTCACAGCTGACATAAAAAATAAGAGCACGATTGTGGGACTACTCTATCATGCAAGTATGGACGACAAAGTGAAAGCAATGTTCACAAATACAGATTGCATTCCTATGGTATGTAAAAATCTATGAAATTTCGATATAAATTTAATAAGCTTGAAATTTACTTCACTACATTTGTACGTTTTGTTTAGATAACAAACATGATATTAAATTCCGAGGACGAACACGTAAGATCTGAATTAATAGCGCTCGGCATAAATTTAGCCATCAACAATAAGAATGCGCAACTGATGGTGGAAAACAATCGTTTGCAAGGTCTTATAAAAATCGCATTTAGAAATCAGGACGCCCTCGTGATGAAGATGATTAGAAATATTTCCCAGCACGATTCGACGAAAGAAAACTTTGTCGTGAGTTGAAACATTAACACGTTAAGGATTATACAATAAATATCGATCATCATAATTTGCTCGTGTGTATTTAATAGGAATTTGTCGGTGATTTCGCTATGGCCCTGACTCAGTCTGATTCTCAAGACTTTGTACTGGAAGTAATCGGCGTGTTAGGCAATTTAGAATTGCCTGATTTGGATTACTCTCAAATCATTCAACGCTGCAATCTTATACCATGGATACGTAATAATCTGGTTCCAGGTACGATCTTTTTTTATCTCGCATTGCTCTTTTTTTTATTTAATGTTAATAAGTAGAATTGAGATAATATTAAATCTTACTTTAGTTAGTTTTTTATACACGTTGTCTTTTATATCTACAGGTAAGGCACAAGATGATATAGTTCTTGAGATTGTCATATTTCTGGGTACTGCAGCTTACGATGAAGATTGTGCTCGTTTGTTATGTAAAGCTGATATACTTCTCTCTCTTATCGAACTCCTTAAAGGTATGTATTGAAACGCAAAAATCGTGCAGAAGGCCGTATTTCCAAATGCAATAAGTATTCACGATAAATTATATCATTACAGCCAAACAAGAGGATGATGAAATGGTTTTGCAAATTATTTATGTTTTTTATCAAATTGCAAAACATGATTCGACCCGAGATTATTTGATTCGCGAGACTGGTAATGGTAATATGTAGTCAATTTTCTCAATCGTTGGATCCGTTAAAGACACACAAAATAACACGGCAAATATACTTTGCGAATATCTTTAAACTACATGAATAAATTGTGGAAAATTGTGATGTTATTTGCAGAAGCCCCGGGATATCTAATCGATCTGATGCACGACAAAAATCCTGCAATTAGAAAAGTCTGTGATACGTGCTTAGATGTTATTGCCGTAAGTATAACTAAAAACGCAAATGCAAATTCATTTTTTCGTTTTCATATAAATAACATGCCAATTATTCGAACTATCCTAGATGTGCGACAAGAATTGGGCGGCCCGCATAAAGGTGGAAAAGTTCCGATCGCACAATCAGCAATGGCTGGAAATGGTCGAGTCTATCGGAACAGATTCAATCAATCATATGCTACCGGACGATGACGATAGTCTATCTCCGTTCATTAGCGGTGACCTACTAAAACATACTATATTATTTCCCTCTGGTAATATATTTTTTTATGTTTTCTTTTTTTTACGAAGTTATTATCTGTCACAGCTATATAATAGACTATCATGCTCGCACAGGTAACGCGGCGTCATTTAATGCGGATGACGGATTTTCAACTATGAAAAATTCATCGGAATCATCTGAAAATCCCAGTCGGCCTGTCAGTAGGTACGTACTCGATGACGCATATGTACTTGACCCAACGGTGCGGCATTAATTATAAATAAATGAAATGCGATTACGCGAGAAACTCATTACTTATATTTTAGGTATCGAGATCTCGACGAAATAGGCGAACTCGTGGCTCGTTCTAAGTCTCGCATGTCCGTTGCTTCAGGTATAGAGGATTTGTATTATAATTCTAGAATGAAATTCGGTGATTCGGATTCCCACATTTTAATCTGAAGATTAATTCAAACGTTCTGATATAGATATGTGACTTAACTTTTGACAAAAGATGCCTAGGATATTTTTCATTATGTTAACGTCATATATATGTTCGATGTAAAAAAAAAAAAACAAAGAAACGTTTGCTACTATTTACAGAGACATGCCTGCTTAAACTAAAGATTTGATTATATATAGACTGCTTTGATCTCATAGTCAAATATCTTAGTTTAGCCTTTTATTTTTTTACGTATTATCTTTTTACATCTTAATTTATTTATAAGTGTCCGCTTTACACTGATGCGCATAATTTTATTACGTTGCAAAATAATAGTATTAAGTTTATTCGAATTTATCTTGCGATAGGCTTTGAGGCAGTCAAAATAGTGTGGTAATGTATATGTGGTTAATGTAAAATTAGTATTTATGATAGTTCAGAGGTCTCTCGTAGTATTTATATTGTTAATATCGGTTAATAAAAAGACAAGTGGTGTATGAAAATACCGAACAGTTTAGAGCAACGGTAGAGATGGAATTACCTATATTCTGAGAGTGAAACGTTTTCTTATTCATTGCGTGCAGAATATTGTGCAATAAATATAGCGTATTTAACTTCTATATATATCTTTTTCACTTTCTTTAGAGACTAATCAAATATGTGTACATTCTGTGTTGTCTTTCATTTTTCATTGCACCTCTTGTCCCTTCGTTATTAACTTATCACATTTATATTAAATGTAAGATGGTATTTTACTATATCAACCAAATGCATGACTTATAGCCATCAATTACCCTCTACGTGATAAAATAAAATTATGATTGAATCTCGTAGATTGTCAGTGTGTACGCTGATTTATTTAAAAAAATTTTCCTTATAATCCGATTCCTTATTCAATACGAAACTCTCTTTCGCTTGATTTTGACCTTTGATTGTCTGGATTGTCAGAGTTTCAATATTATACTTTAGTAAAAAAAGAAACTCAGACCTAGTGTAAAATATATATTTATTGACAATTTAACAATTTACTTAACTTTGTTATTAGAGCTTAAATTTCTTCGTATAACGGCTTCACCTTTAGGTCGAAATACGATAGTATAACTATTGTCTCCGTCAGTGAAGAACATGTGCTCTTTCAAATCGAAACTAACGGGACTGTCTGCAAATCCTTGTACGTCTAAACTAACCCACTGCAAAGTATTTCGCGATAATACATATTGTTTTAACACATCATACACTTCTCGTATCTTTTTTCGTGTAAAGAATCCAGTCCACTGCAAATACTGCACCTGTCCGACATATATAGAAGGAGAAGGACACCGGTATGCGTTTGCATAATCGTCCTCTTTTTCAGTAGACCTAAAAATATTATAACTATCACTGTCATATTCCTTCAGTCTTACCATTGGTGAAAAAATATTTAAAAACGTGAACGAACGTACAGATCACCATCAATGCTGAAAACTCCAAGCCACTCGAAGAAATCGGTATCAGTCTTACTGCATCTATCTGCGTAAGTAGGAATCGTTAATGAATATTTAGTCCTTTTTTGGGAAAGTTTCTGGTGACAAAGACAGACGTTATAATTGCGGGTGTGAAACCACGCCGCTACAGATGACGGACACACGTTGATCTCTGAAATATTTAGATAATTGTGTAAAAAAGGAAATTTATATGTAAATACTGTAATACGTTATTTATTATAGAAAGGCAGAAGTATGTGTACCTGGTGAATCCCATGATACTATGACATCAAATGTCTGTTTGAGTCGTTCTTCCAATGCTACTCGAACTCTTTCATAATTCTTCTTACCAGGAATAAAACTATCATTTGTTAAATCGATTCTCACTACTTTGAGTTATATAAAAAAAAAAACGTTCAAATTTATATCAAAGAAATATACATTCGATTAAAATAGACTATAAATAATACATACATATGTCACATTGTACAATGTAATTGTAGGATGTAATTCATTGCTCAATTATATTATTTGCTCGGACTTACTGTAGCGCGTATGAGGTTTGTGGCTGAAGGCAAAGGGTTTCCCTTCTAAACCAAGTGCTTGGTAATCATCTGCCAGCAAAGAGAGTACCAAGCGTCCAGTCGGAGTTAGACAAACGGAATTCTGCAGGTCTATTTTATTTTCTATTGTCAGAAGATTGATTTCCCCTGAAATTTGAAATGCAGATGTTAGTAGAAACATGAGAATATAATTAAGAGAAGAATATATGTGTGTATCTTGAGAACTTGACATATTATGTACTGCATATAATTCCATATCAATCTTTAAACTTAAAATTGACAGACAAGAATTCTCATTAAGTGTAAAAGTAAAGATATTCTGTATCATGTTTTTTTTTATTTTGATTAACTTGAAGAAAAAAATGATTTTTTTTCTGTAGGCAAGTATGTACTACGTGTATTTTATTTCGCAATTAGTAGATACTACGCAAATAATGTAAGATACACAAATATGTAAAAAAAGTCAATAATAAATTTGCCTTTTTTTACGAAAGCCTCGATGAACTCTATGTTTAAGAGATCACTGACGCGCAGCTTATTTATTCGATAATAATCTGTATCCTCCGACAGACAATTGTGTAAACTTTGAGGAACGGTAACGGTGTCGGGAAGTACCACGGATATCTGGTAACACAGAAAACACTTATTACTATCAAGGTTTGCGAGCTGAATCTTGAAAGAAGTTATTAGCAAGTTTACCGAATGATTGAAGTAATGATTCTTCACTGCCACAGGCACGTCTGCTTTCCTATAATCTATCGTTTCCACGGAAGTGTGGTGCGGCGGTGGCTCGAGATTCCATATCTCTGGATATAACATGTTTCTTTTTTTCTATCGTAACTTTTCTTTTCCTAGAATATAACAGTCATTACAATTAGATTTAATAAAAAATTCACGATTCAATATTTTTCCTCTTAAAATTCCTAAAATATGTGACAAGATTGAGAATTCGAATCTTTCGTTTGACATGCAGCTGTCTTACCATTAAACTATCTACCGTTTCGAATAAAGTACAACAATGTAATGGTCAGAATTATGATGTAAAAATACATCAATATAATGTAATGAATGAAATGTAATAAATAGAATAAAATGCACTTTAATGAAAAATGATATAAATGTAGTATTATAATGTGACGTAATGTAATAAGTTAAAATAACTTTTTACATGTAAACACAACACAAAATATCCGACACACCACGTGGTCGTCTCGTGCATATACCTAACTTAACCTAAATCTTCAATCGATTAATCGAAGCTATGATGCGTGGTGGGGAGTGGGGGCCATTTTTTTCTATTTTTCATAAATCACTGAACTCTTTACATACTGCAATAAGTGATCTATTGTTCTGGCTGTCGCCAGTGAGAAATGTTTTTGAGGGTATTCCTCTATCCTTCTAGCACTATTGATTAATCAATCGCACTGAGAATGTCATTTTTATGCTTCACCTAATATTGACGGACTTAGACTAAGTAGCACAAGAGCCTCGGTAGCGCAGTAGGCAGCGCGTAAGTCTCATAATCTTAAGGTCGTGAGTTCGATCCTCACCCGGGGCATTTTTTTTTCAACGTAATTTTTGCAAAAACGAACATGATAATTGCCAAATGAAGTTTTTATTACGTATATAATAAACTGTTATAAAATTTATATTATAAAAATTATAATTGTGACATAATTAAGTAGGTACTCTCTTAAATGCAGAAATGGAAATATTTACAGGAACATCTAACATAAGGATAAAGGATGATCGTGAATTCTCGAAATGACAACGTTGACTTAACAATTAAATAGTTTTTATTTTCGTCTCTTTTTGGATTCATTAGGGTTTCTCTTCATCCAGTACTTGACGGCACCGTCCGGTCTTATGCCCAGCATAGCCGACTTCGAATTTACATCGCGCATAACAAACGGAGAGTATCCAGCTATGTAATCGTCGTCGAGCGGATTATTTTTTACGCGCGCCAAACGTGACGGGCGTTGATCCGGCATCGGTTGATCGTCGCATAAAATGGGATTGTTGGCGTGTTTTCCACCCTTCGGCATCGGTAGCGAGAACTGAAAAATTTCGTCAATTTTACTTTTGCCACCTTTCGCATTCGCATAACTCGATGGATTACATCGGAAACTAGTGCACAGCGTACCTTCTTTCCCTTGGCCGAGAGAGGTTTCCGAAAATTGATGTGAATCTGTTGTTTCCCATTCTCATCTAACGTGACCTCGACTTTCTTCAGCGTCCTGTTACCGCAGTGCGGGCAGAAAATCTTCGTCATGACGCTGGTGGTCTTGAAACAGGCGTAACATCTGAATATGAACGTTCGCATCTGTTTAATCACTCTGCCATCCAGTGCGACGACATTCAGTCCCATTTGCATGAGCACATTTTGCATCGCGAAATCCATCGTTAAGCATGCGACGGTTGCCGCTTTTTCTTCGAGAATCTCCGAGTCCATTTGCTTCTTTATATTGGAAACATTCGCTGTCAAAAAAGAAATTATTAAAAATTAACTTCTTGAATATATTTATGTACTTATGCATAGAGTGATGTATTGTTTTGTGTGAGAGCAATTGATTAATAGTCGCGGCAGATCTTGAGTTCGATTTCCATTCTTATCTCATGTATGTCTTAGTTTTGTACGAGGTTGATTGGAGATTTTAAAGATTAAAAAAATGAAGGAATATATGATTAATGGTAATTAATTTCAAAAATCCATATTTTAACTGTATATACTTATGCATTAATTGTTATTTAAAAAAGTTAATAGATAAAATTAAATTTACCTGGTGTGATCCAACCACTGTCATCGTCGTCATCGTCATCGTCATCATCATCATCATCCTCGTCATCCTCATCTTCATCCTCAGACGATTCGTCACTTTTGGACGTATCGACAGGAGCAAGAATGTCATCCACAACACACTTGCCCTCGCTCTCACCCTCTACTTCTAAATCAGTTGGATTGCACTTTAATTTGGAAAACTTATCAGCTAAATCAACCGTTTTGTCTTCGTCATCTGACCCAGCCGTTTCATAATCTGACTGTGATTCGTCTGAGGATGCAGATGCGTAAGGAGTACATTGTTTTTCCGTGTCATTTATCTCTGCATCATTCGTCGCATTATCTACCGCCGAATTACTTATAATCTGTATGTGTGTGATATCTTTTTCAACATCAGTCTCTTCCGTATTATCTGAAGCTTCTGCATTGTTATCCACGTCCGATTCTTTTCTCTCCTAGATACAGAATATGAATTTAGATTAATGAAGTACATGTATACAGAAACAATTAAAATATCTTACCCTTTTCTTCGGCATGTAGAAACCAACTGGCAGTTTAGGATCATCTCCGCTTGGTTTATCTTCCACAGATTTAATGGTCCTTATCGTTGGAACATCCTTTAAATGTGCTGTCCCGACTTTCTCTTTTTCCAACTGATACGTGAGCGCAATTACTTTGATGTCAGTGGCAGACAAGCTGATGTAGTCGCCGCTTTTCTTTGAAAATTCAGTCACTGTAAATATATTAAAAATATTAGTAACATAAGTACATAGAAACATACAGTATATATATGTATATCGTTTGCTGCGTGTATGACACGTACAGCGCTTTCGTTCCTCGCGTTAGTGATAAACTGTCTTAAGTGGAAAGAGAATTTGAAAGAAAGAAATGACTACTGCGCAACAATAAATATATGCTGTATTCAATCATATGTCTTCTCGCACGTACTTTCGACAGCCACAAAGATGCTAATGAGCTTTATTTACCAAATTTAATGTTTTCAGCAAAAGCCTCCTGAATCTTCAAGTCGTACGGCAGTACGACCAATCTTCTCAACTGCCTCTTGCTCGTGATCTCGTCGACGACAGCCTGTTCGGTCAAAATGTTGACTCCAATGTCCTACAATTAAATTTTGTAAATTAAAATTTCGTTGGAAACGGAGGGGCTAGAATATATTTATACGTTGTATTTTTAATAAAGCGATACTTGAACAAAATTATATCTTAGTTGCAAATACATTGATGAAACACACACATGTACACACAGCTTCTTGGTTAGAATTAAATATCTTCGCCTTCATTTATACGCATAAATTTATATCTTACTCAATAATTACCTGCAAGGCAGCATTTCTTATGAAAGCGCTTGTATCGACGATAAGATATTCCACTTTATTCCTATTTTCCATGATTACACGTGGCCCACGTGAGGAATGCTTCGTACAACGTGTGTATACAACTGCGACGAGCGAAATAAAGAAGTATTTGGCTGATGGCTCCTGCTCACAGGGTCACAGGACGCGACAGTGGCGGCAATCGGCAATGCGGGGAACGAATTGAAATAAGTGCGCGAACTCAAATGACAAACTTCAGGGTGA